ATAATTATAGAAAAAAAAAAAAGAAGAGTCCCAAAGCACTCTCTTGTTCTCAGCTCTCTTCTGTTCTCATTCTAAGTATTCTTTCTGGCAATCTCACCTACTTGTTTTTCACTACCACTCAGAAGCTAGCGGGCAGTCTACAACATATTTTCTAAATACTAATACAACTGCTTTCTGAACTCAATGTATCCAAAACTAAACTCATCACCTTTCACCCTCTTCCTCTGCTCTCTAGGCAAATGAATACCACCACCCACTCAAACTAGAAACCTGGGCATCATTAAAATGCCTCCTTCTGACAATAGCCCACAATAAGTGGTACAATGCATATAGGACTGGGAGGGGGGAGGGAGGGAGGTAGTTGGGTAGCAGGAATAAATATTTTTTAAAAAAGAAAGTGAACCGGGTAATGGGACGGGAGAAATGTGCAACAATGAATGAATGAAAACTTGTCTATAAACTTTTTTTAAACATCACTATTAAAAAAAAATTTATTTAAAAAAAATAAAATGCCTCCTTCTCCCTCACCCATCCAAACAGTAGCCAAGTTCTTTCAATTCAACTTTGATATTTACCAAAGCTCTCTACTTATTTCATTTTTAAATTTAGGCCCTCAACAACCCTCACATGCATTACTTGTTCCAGCCTCCTAACCTGGGGTTCCTGCCATCAGATCAGTCAAGTCATTCTTTTCTTTCTACCAAAAATCATTCTAAATGCAAATGGAATCAAGCCCTTCTACTGATGAAGATCTTGCAATAAGCTCCCTTGGTCTTCAAGATTAATTATTAACGTATATTCCCTGTATAAAAGCTTCATGATTTGGCTCCTGCTTCCCTATCCAGTTTCCTATCTTGAAAGTTCCCATCCTGACAACCCTGTACTATACCTAGCACACTGAACAGCTTGAGTTTCTTGAAAATGCCAGTGTCTCATATCGAAGGGCTTTTACACAAACTGTTCCTTCTTTCTGAAATGTCCTCTTTAGTGTTCTTCCAAACACCACTATCTTTCCCTCTTTTGTTTAGTTAAGGCATTAACTCTTCTACAAAGTTTTCTTTGTGTTGCCAGAGCACATGTAGCTTACTTGCAGGAGCTATGTTTATTGATATTAATAATAACAGCAGCAGTATTTACCACTATTGTTTTCATGAGCCACCATGCCATGTGCTTAACAAACTATCTCATTTGATGTTCCTATCAACCTTATAAAAATAGGTATTACACAGTTTATTTCACAGAAACAAGAAATGAGGCTCAAAGGTTATCAGAACTCTTGTGTCAAGAGCAAGCACAGAAAAAAAAAAAAAGAGCAAGCACAGAGGCTGACAAATACTGGGAATCAAAATATTTTAAAGGAGTAAGTGGTATCAGAAAGCAGGAGGTGGGGAGCTCTGGTGGCCTAGTGGCAAGAAGCTGCACTGCAATCCCAGAGAAACACGGTTCGAATCCACCAGATGCTCTGCCGGAGAAGGAGGCGCAATATCCTCCTGTACCAGTCAGATCTGATTTGACGGTACACGCACACAAAATAATAAAAAATAATAAAAAAAAAGAAAGAAAGCAGGAGGTACCCAAACTATGCAGGACAGAGGCTCCTACCTTGTTGTCCAGAGTAGCAATCTCCTGCTGGCTGGCAGTAGACAGCAGAAAGGAATTCATCTGAGTCTTCAGGGTATCATCCACTTCCACATCAATGTCATAACAAGCTGTCTTTTTCTGATCATTAGGGTCAACACTAGGGAACAAACCAAAGGGGCCTGGTAAAAGGCTTGTCCCCTAAAAGCTAGTTACATAGGCTCAAAAAATGGTTCAGGGATGAAGAGGAGGGAGTTTGACTACAAATGTGCATGAAAGAACTTTTGAGAGTTAGGAAATTAAAACACAGAGCATAATAAATAGTGGTCTAACTTTTAAGCACGGGATACAGGACAGCCCAACTTTTAATGACCCAGTTTATAGGCTTTAGGAATTAACTATCAAGTAAGTGAAGGCTTAGGATCTAAAGAAAGACCTTGAAAACAACAAATGCTAGCGAGGTTGTGGAGAAACTGGAACCCTTATTCACTGTTGGTGGGAGTGTAAAATGGTGCAACCATTATGGAAGGCTGTATGGTGCTTTCTCAAAAAGTTAGAAACAGAAATACCATTTGACCCAGCAATTTCACTACAGGGAATAAACCCTAAAGAAACCAGAACTGACACCTAAGCAGACATATGCACACACATGTTTACTGCAGCTTTGTTCACAATAGCAAAGAGTTGGAAACAACCCAAATGCCCACCAACAAACAGAGAAGCTGTGGTATATTCACACAATGGAATACTATGCTGCATTGAAAAACAAGGAATTCAGGAAATATTATTAAAAATGGGTGACCCTGGAGGACATGATACTAAGTGTATATCTCAATCACAAGGGGACAAATGTTGCAGAATTCCACTATTGTAAAACAGGACCGACATCGGGGTTGGGAGTAAACTAAGAAAAGAAGGGATAAATAATATATACTGTACTGAAATAGATAAGGGAGAGAACTGTTTGAAAGGAATATATGATTAGGTATTATTTTCATGACAAGAATCCAGAATGAGAGCTGCATCATGGTGGAGTGGACTGGAGTGGTGGTAGGTATTGTATAATAATGAAAGCATTTTCTTTTTTTTTACTTTTCAAAGAGAAAAACCAAGTGGGGGAAGGAGTGAGCAGGGAGGAAAATGTGCAACAATGAATGAATGGAAATTCAAAGTCTCAGGAGAGCTCTGGTGGGCTAGTGGCAAGGAGCTGCAACTACAATCCCAGAGGCTCATGGTTCGAATCCACCAGATGCTCTGCCGGGGAAGGAGGAATAATCTCCTCCTGTACCAGTCAGATCTGATTTGATAGCATGTGCAGAAACTCAAAGAAAAACCAGGACAGTTAACTGTGCTTAACAGTAGTAACTCCAATAAAAAAAAAAAAAGAAAAAAGAAAAAAAAGAAATCCAAAGTCTCTATAAACTTTCATTAAAATTTCAATTTTTTTTTTAAAAAAGAAAGACCTTTAGGTGCAAGTATTAATATGGACTAATAGAAAGCAGACAGAGAGCAGCAACACGGTGCTCTGAAGAGGAAATCATGCCCTTCACTGCCAGGAGATGCCTTGTTCCCCAGTTTCTGAATACAGACACAATAGATACCAATACATTCAAGAGCACAGTTAATATGTAATAAAATAGGAAGTGACAAATTTCAGATATATATTGGCTTTGTTTTTATGGTAAAAATATATAATTTAAACAATGGCTAGTTAATAAATTGCAAAATATCTAAAAATTTGACAGCTGGTTCTCACAGATATTAAAGCCAGATTCAGCACAGCACTGGCTTCCTGTAAGCATGCTTACCTGATGACATGATTAATGATAATGGGTTCTGGTGGCATAAGCAAGGCATGAAGCCTTTGGGGGATCTCTGAAAACTTCATACGCTGAGACTCAAAGATCTGTGGGAAAGAAGAGAAGCAGCTAAAAGCCAGCATCTTGACCATCACTAATATTCCACTGGGTTCTAGTAAAAGGGTCACTTGTTTACCTGTTGTAGGTACTTGTCACAAATGACAAACTCTCGCTCATGAGGATCCTGGAGCTTATGTGTCTTAATATATTGCCATAGTGCTTGGATGATCACTGGACGGGTCTGGGTGTGAATACCCAGGAGCCGAGCTAGGCGAGGGTCTAATTTAAACTGGGGAGGCTGTGGGGAACCAAAGAAAAGAGATAAACATTAATGTAGTACTTTCACTTGGTCAGGAAAATACTAGGAGGAATACAGATGACTGAAAATCTCTCCCTATACTTAGGGAACTTGAAAAGAATAATGGGAAATTATTCACAACAGACTTAAAAATCTTCAATGGAATGTAACTGTGGTATCAGGACACCTCTCCCTACCACACAGTACCTGGTAATCCAGCATCAGCAGGACAGTACACCGTACATTCACGTCTCCTGGCCGCTTCACCTGGAAGCCATCCGTCTCCTGGGTAGTGGCGGTCCTGTGCCACTACAGAGAGGAAGATGTCAGGGGGTGCTCTCACAAAGGAGAGCTGGGGTGAGAGGGAAGAGCTGCTGTCATGACAGAACACTCAGTTTTTGATCACTGAGGCTACTGAAGAGCAGCATTTGAGGTATTTTTAGTTTCTTTCAAATTACATATGGCTTTGGGATTAATGTCTATGTGTAAAAGATTAACCTTTTAATTCTGCCTGTTCAGGGTCTCATTTAAATTAGCCTAATTTACCAGTGATAACTATCTGCAAAGTGGATAATATGAATGTATATAGTAACATAGCTGTTACTTACTATTTGCTATGTGCAAATGATAAATGGTCCTAAACCATATACCTAGATTACCTCATTCAATTCTTACATTCGTCTGAGACAGTCACAATGCCTATTTTATTGGTAAGAAAACCAAATTTTAGAAGAGTGATATAATTTGCCTAAGGTCAAACAAACAATAAATGGTAGAGCTATAATTTGATCTCTAATGTGTCAGCATCAATAGTCCACATTATTACCCATTATGATCAGAAAGTTGGACAATGACCAAGGAGGACAGAAGGAGAATTGATGCCTTTGAGCTGTGGTGCTGGAGAAGAGTATTGAGAATACCATGGACTGCTAGGAAAACAAAAAGATTTGTCCTGGAAAGGGTTAAACCGGGCTGCTCCTTGGAGGCAAGGATTCTGAGGCTCCGTCTAACATATTTTGGACATGTTGTGAGGAGAGACCAGTCCTTGGAGAAGGACATCATGCTTGGGAGGGTGGAGGGACAGCGCAGGAGAGGAAGGCCCTCTATGAGGTGGGTTGATTCAGTGACTGGGATAATTGGGATGGGAGTGTCAGAGAGAGTGCGATTGGCACAGGACAGAGCAGAGTTTAGGGCTGTTGTACATAGGGTCGCTATGAGTTGCAAGCAACTCGATGGCACATAACAACAACAACAACAACAACAACAACAATGCTCTATTACTATAAAATTTAAAGATATCTGCAAATTGCTACTAATTCCATAACTTATTTACCTTAGTAGATGGCAAAGACCTTCTCAGGTATCTTAGTGAGTGAGAGTAAGAGGCTGTGGCTACCCTGGCAAAGAAAGGAGCAGCTTACGTTTACTTGGAGTTTTGAACTGTCTCATTCTAGTTCTGACTAAGATACTATCATGCTCTTCTGCAAAGTGAATACTGTCATTAATATGGTTGTTGTAACATTATGCTGTTAGGCACAACAAAAGATTTTTAGAGATTATTTGGAATATAAATGGAATAAGGACCAATAGGAACACTGACAAGTACAACTATTCTACTACTTGACTTCTTTAACTATCGCAATTGCTACCAGGATAAAGTAGGAAAGGTGTATGACTAACAGCCTCTTCCCATTACTAACAAGCAAGATGTAGAAATGGCCTTGAATGTACAAGAGGCCTCCATTAGAATTTCACCCTGAAAGTAGGGAGAGAAAAAGGAAGTTTCTGTGCAACCAAGGTGGTAATATTTTTTAAAATGGGACAAGTGAAATAGCAGGTGCTCTTGGGGCCAGCAGCTGAATTCAGCTAATGCCCCCTGGAGGTCAACAGAGAAACTGCAATGGTGGTACTCTAGACACCTGCTGTTGCTGCTGTGTGCCATCAAATCAGAACTGATCCATAGCTGACCCTCTAGGTGATTTGTGAAGGCAGTAAACTGCATGGAAGAAGACTATCTCCTCCCATGCAGCAGCTGGTGGGTTTGAACTGCATTCCTTTGCAATTGCAGTGTGGTTTCTTACCACTAGGACACGAGTAACCCTTTAATGTATGTACCTTACCACTCCCTAGAAAATAAAAGTACACTGTCCTGCCGTCAGAGTTAAAATCCTAGGAAGCAGAGCTACTTACTTCTACCAGATGGTTGTCTGGCCCATACAGGTCTTTGTCCAGTTCAATCACCAAGGACTTAAAAAAAGAAGAGAACTTCCTCTTTTGTTTGGTAGCATCATATTTGGACAAAGCTGACTAGAGGAAAAGAGAGCGCTCCTGTTAGAAAAGACTACAAAAAAGTTCCCAAGACAGAGTTTCATAGAAAAAGAACACACAACAATAAGAAAACATTCAGAAAGAATTTAAATATTTCTTAGGAAAAGGCAAGGTATTAAATGAGTCATAGTAGAAATAGAATCCTGGAGAAACAGCCTATAATATGCACAAGTTTATTGACTTATCTCATTTCCCACTGGAAAATGAGTCAAGTTAAGCCAAACCATTGCATATAACAACAAAGCAAGTGTGAAAAGAGAAAAGCCTGACTCTAAGAGAGGAAATTAATCACAGCCAGTAGGCAGCCAGAACAAAAACAGCTTTATTTGGACAGAATGACAACATCAGCAGACGGACTGGACCTATATAGACAAGGCAGCTCTGATACAGAGCTAGCCCTAGTTATCCGGAAGAAAAAAAAAGGGGGGAAAAAGCATTCAAATTAGCTTGCAGCTAAAAATATAGAGACAGCCAGAGAATACAAGGGAATGAGAGAAAGGTGAGCTTCCCCAAGGAGTTCCTAAAGCAAGAAGTTGGGGGATCGTCACTTGTCAGCTTGGTGTTCCTCATGAAGTAATGGAGAGCCTGTCAGAGAACTCCATCTCACTTAAATTGTGAGGCATCTTCAGTGAAAGCTGGGAGGAATACGCCTTAATAGGAATCAAGGACTTAGAGGAAAATTATGGCTTCAAATGCCAAGTGTAAACTTCATATGTTTCTTTTTTTTTTTTAAAGATCCAACTAATCTATAGATTCTAATAAATAAAATGGCCAACAGAGCACTAGGAAGAAGGTAAACAACAAATCAGATTCTTAGACAGTAGGTTCTCAATATGATACCACAGTGAGGGCCAAAACTGTGGGAGCCAGAAACAAAGAACCATTGTCTTCCAGTGCAGAGAACAGAGCATCCCTCTCCCTGCTGCTCCCAACAGGAGCTGGAAGCACCAGACAGACATCCTGCCGACCAGACAACACTGCCTGTTCCCAATGGCTCCCACCCTTGACACTGACCACGGTGGACTCTGAACTCACATCCTCCAGAAGCCGTCCTTCTACCCGAAGCTCCCAGGAAGCCACCGTCCCTTCCCCATCTTCAGCATCTGATTTGGCCGGATTGAAAGTGTTAGAAATGAAAATTCGCAGCTTTCGTTTTTGCTGAGGAAGGCAGAAATAGGATTAATTGTTGGGCTTCAGGGGTTTGATGCTGAAGACAAAAGTCTCCCCAAGCCCTAAAATTACTCCTAACAGACTGGCTTACTACCCAGTTCCTAGGGTGGGTGAACAGAGTAGAGGCCACTCGTCTGAGTACACACACTGGGATACCAGGTGGACAAAGCCATGTAGGGCGCCAGGTTCCAAAGGCAGCAGAGCAGTTAGAGCAAAAACAGCGGCTATTTCTGGTGCAAAAGGCACTAAAAAGCTCCTCCCCCTTGCTGTTTTGTTCTTATGCTCCTAATGTAATTCTCAGTTTGTAGGCGGAAGGGAGAGATGCAATTTAAATGCCAAGGAGAGCTGTGCTGTGCCTTTAATTTCTCATCCTAAGCCTACTAAAGGTTCCTGAGTCCTCTCTTTTGGCTCTGTGCCTAGCAATCTCCTGCATTACCTTGATGGGACGTTTCAAGGCCTCCTGGATATCTAGTCGTTTCCTCATGATAGTCTGGTCCAGCTTCCTTTCAAAAGCCAAGAGATCCATATAGGCCTGAGATTCTGGTACCAGTTCACGAATCTTAGAAACAGAATGATATAATTGGGATCAAAAGCTGACTATCTCTCATCTCAAACACATCACACCCTCAGGAAGACCTACAGCCTAGACTCACCCTTTGAGGTAGAATTTTGTCAGCCATCTTCTTTTTCTTTGCACTGTTTAGAATAAATATTGTCATTAGCTTGGGATGGCACTAGTCAGAACAGGAAAACAAGCTGTCAGCACCTCCACTTATAAAAAGTAGAGGGGCTGCAAAGCCTCTCTCAAATAATGTAAATCCCCTCTTCAAGAAGCATGAGGTATTCTCAAACTGAGTTCCCCAGCACCACCACCTCTAGGTTCATGGTAATCCCCTCCCTCCTTCTGCCCCAGCGTCCTCTTACTTGTGGTTTCGGTTTTGGACTGCCTGTTGCTGAACCTGCTGGATCTGCTGAGGTGCAGGTCTCTTGCGGGACTGATCCATCCCTGACTGGGCCAGGCCAGGTCGAACTGAAGGGTTCCCCCCATAGCCAGGGGGTCCCATGGAAGGTCCCTGAGGTGTCATTCGGCTGCCTGGCAGCATACCTGGTCTCTACAGAGGGGAAAAGGTCCAGAGATATCATGGTCTCTAGTTAACTCCACCAACAAAAGAAAAGGAGGAGGGAGGTATGTGCCTGAGTTCTTTGAATGAGACAGGGCTGTGGCATGGGGTGGAGGAAAGATCTATCTTTCTGAAATACAGGAGACTAGCGTTTCATCCAGTCATGCATGGTTCCATAGAATATGAGCCCAAAGCTATTTTGGATCTGACACATTCTGCCAGCTCCTATTTCTGTAGAAGCTGACCCCGATCTGCCAGACATCTTCTGTCTTCCTCTGGGTACTAGGGCTGCTCAAACTCCTTTGCACGCCAAACCTTTTATGCCCACTCTCTTGCCCCACTTGAGCCAGCCACATCGGGCTCATACCCTCACTTCTCACAAAAACAATGTCCCTAGACGCAGGTGAGGATGCTAACTGCTTCCCCTCCTTTCCTCTGAACTACCGTACCAAACCCCACCCCCACCTAGGGCCTGAATCTCTCCCAGGGGAGTCCCTCCTACTTCTCCCTGCACACTTGTCACTCCCAGGACCCTGCTCGGCCCCGCCCCCGGCCCGCGCGCCCCTCCTCCTGCTCCACTCACCGGATAGGCCGCTCCAGGCATCGGGGAGCGGTACAGCCCTTGACCCGGCGCCGGGCCCATTCGCACCGGGGGGCCCGGAGTCCCGCCCGGGCCCAAGGCGGCCGCCGCGCCAGCCCCTCCTGTGGCTCCGGCACCACTGCTTGGAGCCACAGACTGGAAACCCGCCCGGGCCGCCATCTTCCCCGGAGCCGCTGCTGCAGCTTCACAAAGAACCGGAACCGGAACTCCCCCCGCCCCTTGCGCGCCCCCCGAGCGCCCACCAGTCCTCCCGGCCGGCCGGCCGGCACGGGAGGCTCAGGGCAGCGAGACTGTAGGCTAGAGTGGGGGCGTCTAGCGGAAAAGGCTGTGCTAACTTCTCCCTCCCGCCTTCACAGTCCGGGAGGGAAAACCATAGAGAGGACCTGTGGGATAGAGAGTCGCTGGGAGCGGGCGCCCCCAGGCCGCCGGGAGGAAGAGAAGGACCTGCAAATGGTGACTACTACCCCATTTCTACTCTTCTGAAGAGGGTGGTCAATTAAATGCTTTATCTTGGCGCAGCACTTTTAACTTTCCAAAGCACTTTAATTGCTTTCCATTTTATTCCCTTACCGCTATAATTCTAGGGGGCTGAAAAAAGGAATGCACTTTGTTCGATTTTACAAACGGGAACACTGAGCTCAAAGAGGGTAAACGACTCGGCAAAGGTTAACCAGCAAGTTACGGCAGTCATTCCTAGTCTCCAGATCTCCTGGCTCCTAGCCCAGGATACATCCTGTGCATTAAAATGCCTACCCATCTCACACAGGAACTTCGGCCCCACTTAGTCCCTGACCATTAACCTAACCTCCTTCCAAATGTTAACATTTTCGTTTATCAGAAAAGTTCTGTCCTGCCTGCTCCCCAAAGAATCCCCTGTACTGGGGCTTCTCTCTGAGATCTTTATCGTTTCGACCTCTTCATTCCTCTCCAATAGTTGGTTCTTCCTCCTCTCATGATTAATCTGGCTCCATCTCCAGGACATCTGGAACTCTACTCAAACCCTCTCATTATTCCTCCCTCTGAGTGGTCCTAAGCCAAACTCAGCTCTAGGCATTTAGTGAGAAAACGTCACTACTTTTTAAGTAAGTGAATAACAACACTGAAGAAGCAGTGGTTGAAACCCAATTTATTAGACCAGAGGCATGCGTCACCCAAACCCCGCCTGCTGTTCCCTCATCCAGTGCACACTTCTTGGCCTTTGCTACTGCTTCCCTCTCAGGAGGTCTAGTCTCTGAGGAACTCCCAAGTACCAAGAGTTCTCAACGATTCAACAGCCTTACTTCAGCTCCAGGCCAATGCACAGATAGCTTGCCCATAGATCCCATCCCGGAGTAGAGTCACAGTTGGGCAGAAGGCCTAGGAAGGGGTTGGGGCTCTGGCCTGGGAGAAATGCCTGGTGGGAAGGCAGGAGAGGCAGGTCCTCTCTCCCATTTGTCTCTTGTTAAGGGAGGGAAGAACTTTCAACTCCCCCTTCTTGGCCTCTTTCCTCCCTTTACCAAATCCCACCTCACGAGAAAATTCCAGTGGTGGGCTTGAGTATCAGGTGAGGAAAGGGGGTTGGGCACCCAGAAGGAGGGAAAGGCCACTGACTGAGGACCTCCCTTCCCGCCTATCAGCACCCCACTGTCCCAGCTGCAAGTTACCAATCCCCAGCTCCCTTTTGTTTCTGACACTCTGGCTGCCAGCTTGGGAGGAATTCGTGGCTTAATATCCAGGGCAGTTTTCATCCCCTAGGTAAGGGCTATCTCATAATAATCCCTTCCCTGGGGAGGCCAAAGTCAGCCAGGCAAAGGGCATTGGAATGGGTGGAGCAGGGGATGGGAATGTTAAGGCTACAGGGAGGGCAGAGGGTGCCTAGGACTGGGGGAGAAGGTGAGGCCAGAAAGAGGCAGAGCTTGTGATTCACAGCTTCCTTTATGTTGCCACCGAGACAGTGCGAAGGTTACAATGCGCGTGTCGTCTCCTTGTGCTTCTCAGAGGGATGTGTGTACACAGTACAGACACCAGGGGAGAGAGTCCAACTCTTTATACAGGCGAAGGCATTCAGAGACCAGGAAGGATGGGAGAGACACAGACGGAGAAACTTGGTGTGGGGAGTGGTTCTCAGAAACAAGACGGGATTGGGTGTGGAGACAGACAGGGTTTGGGGAAAGTATATACAGAGATATAGCAATATAGAGTCTGTATCATATAGAAATAGAAAATGCAGATGAGGTTGTTGAGAGAAGCAAATGGAACTGGAGAAGAGGACTTGGGGAATTCCATAAGAAAATTTATGGATGTGGCCCCCTACAGGGACCCCTAGGAGAGGGACTAGTGAGGTTGGGCACCAGTGCCCCTCTCCCTGAGCTGGAAGCCAACCAGCAGGGTCTTTTATGGGACGGTAGAGGGCTGCCTCTTGGGATTTCTCTCCAGCCGCTACAGCTCTGGGGTGAGAGTTAGCTTGTAGGTATCAAGATGTGGCCTACAGCACCAGGGTCACATTCTGCCCCATCTCCACTTCTTCAGGGGATTCCCCTACGCATCTCCCTAAGGACTCCACATGGTGTGAGAGGACGGGACTGGGGTCTGAGTTCCTGCCTGGAGATGGGGTTGGGGGGTCACTGGACTGAGAGGGTCTCTTAAGGCTGGGGAAGCCCCCCACTAGCCCTCCCCCTCAAGGTACATTCTCTGGTTTGGGGCAAAAATTAGAGACCCCGGGGATCCCCTCAACCCCCTCCCCACTGGGAGGGGGCTTTGGTGGTTGGTGGCAGCAAATGTAGGTGAACATTCAGATGACAGACAGCCAGACAGACAGAATTCAGGCTGGGAGCTGGGGGAGGCAGCATGGAGCAGAGAGGGACCACCGGAGGTCCCTTGCCCCTTTCTCTCTTTTTTAATGTCTTTAAGATTAGTTTTGTTAAAAATAAAAAGAATGGGAAAGAGGCAGGAGTAAGACTCTAAGGTCAAGACTCCTTCCTCACCACAGACAAGAGGAAAGAACTGCCTAGGAGTGGGGGGCTGTCCTGGGAGTGTGGGGTGAATTCCCAGGACAGATGAGGGGCAGTGGGGGGCCCCTTGCTCTCCTAGCCCTCCCCATCTAGGCCTTTGGTACAGTGGCCTGCAGGGCTCAGCAGGTAAAGTCCTCAAACGTGCCTCGGGCTGGATGGTGAGGTAGGATGTTGGCAGCGTACGTCATTCCGGCAGGATGGCCACGGAGGCTCTCGCAAGGATTCTAGGGGAATAGTACGGACTGGTTATTGGTGCCATAGGTGGCACTGTGGAGGCAAAGAAGAAAAGGGGTCTGGGGGTGGGTGGCCCTGGGGCAGTGGGGAAAAGGGCCAGGGTCACAGGGTACCCCTCATTTGCTCCCTCACGTGTCTTTTGACGTCATCCAAGCTGAGGGCCACACCCTTGTCTGCACTGCTCCTTTTGGCTTCCTTCTGGCACTTTCCTTTTCGGCACAGCTTGTGCTTAATGACCTGCAACAGAGAGGGAAAGGTGGGACAGGGTGGGACTGGGTGAGCTGGACCCCTGCAGCTGTGGCCTCCTGCTCCCTCCCCCAGAGCTCACCTCATAGGCATAGTCAAAGAGCTCCAGCACTGTGAGGATGCTGGCCCCGATGAACAGCCCCATCTGGCCCCCAATGTCACCTGCATGCAAGGTGGGAAGTTAGTGTGGTCTGGACACTGAGGGGCTGGCAAGGCTCCGTGGGACAGAGGTGGACAGGTCATATTCTTTTTTTTTTAGCTGTTGCAAAAAGCTTTATTGTTAACAGGTCATATTCTTGAGAGCACTGACAGCCTTCATACAGAGGGGGCACAAAGGTAGCTTCTGGAGAAATTCTTTTCTTCCCTATATTTTTCTATTTCTCTAACATGAACAAGTATTATTTCAGAAAAAAAAAAGCTGTTTACAAAATAACACAATAATCTTATTGTCTGGGCAAATTTTCAGGAGCATGCCCAGTGTGGAAGCCAATAGACCTGTCTCTCTAACTTTGTCCTGTCCTGAGAGAAGGCTCAGTGACCTCTTTTCATCACATACCAGGACAGCAGTGCTTGGGGAAAGGATCCTGGGGATGAGGATGCGTCATGTGACAGGGCTCATGTGACACTCCCCTGATTTGGGTGGTGGGAATTCAGGTCATGTCTGTGATACAGGAAGGGGGCAGGGGTCATCTGCAGCTCACCCAGGAGCCCTGCAATCTCATAGGCCTTCTTCTGTTCAATGGTCTCATAGTTGAGGACTTCAAAGAAAATGTCCAGCACCAGGATGTTCTCCCTGCAGTGGGGTTGGGGGAGGAGACCTAGGTTCAAGTTACAGCTCTGCCTCTCACTCCCTGGGTGACCTCAGCAGTTAACCTCTCTGAAATCTCACTCTTCATATCTATAAAGTGAGATGTTATTGGAGATACCTGTCTTGTAGGTTGGTGAGGGTTAAGTGAGTTGAATATAAAAGGATGCTGTACATACTGGGATACATGACATAATCAGAGCTACAGCAGTGAGAATGAAGACAGAGGACCAGCAGGGAGGGGGAGAAAGGGGCTTTCACTCCCTAGGCCCACCCCAGTTTCTTAAGTCCTTCCCCATGCTATGTCAAGCTCTTCCTGTCTGTCTCCATGAAACCCCTGATGCCCTTCACATTTTCCAGCTTAACTCTAGTCAGAGCCCTTACCCTATGTACTGTTCAGACTTGTTGAACTTTTTTGCCAAGTACTTGGCTGAGGCTTTGCTGGGAATCTTGACCATGGACAGCTCCTTCCCATAGCGAGTCAGGTTGCAAGGCATTTCACACACGCAGTATTCTTGGTCCTTCTCCACCAGGAAGTCTGCCCAAGCCAGGTGGGAGGAGTCAGCTGGGCGGTGCCCTTCTGCCAGCACCCTCCCAAGATGCACAGCCTGGTCTTATCTAAAGGAATTCTAGGCCCCTGTCTCTTTTCCTGCATTGCCCTTCACACTCATTGCTGATTCTCTCTCAGGCTCCCCAGAAGGGTCCCTCCCTGGTGGTCCCAGTAATTTTTCATAAGGTCCTTTGGGGAATGTCGTTCCCAGCCTTGCTAAAATCAAACACAAGGGAGGCTTGGCCTGCAGTATCTGTGCAGCCGCGCCTCCCCTTCCCTAGCCTATCCAGGTAAGGTGCGCTCACCGAGAGCAGGATCTGCACATTCCTTGTACTGCTCTGGAGTGCAGTATGGGGCATCCCCTACAAAGAACAAAAGACAGTATTGCAAGGAGGAGTTTTTAAGGGAGTCTTTGGTGGTGGGAAGGCCTAGAAGGTGGGAACTTGTAGAGCTAAGAAACTAGGTCTAGCCAGCTCTGTCTGTTCTGGAGTTAACCCCCTAAACACACAGTTCATCCCTCCTGTACCCTTCCCACATATTCCTGTGGAGTCCTCCCTTCCCTTTTGCAGGTAGGAATTGAGGTCAGAAAGAGAAGAGCCAGATGGGCATAAAATGGGCCTAGAAATGAGGTGAGAAGAAGCCAGCTGGTCTTCCTTCCATGTTGGCAGAAGGTTGGTGGGTGGGAAGCTGATGAGGGACAGGGCAGCCTAAATGGCCCCAGGATTGTGCTTGATGCTCCATGGCCTGACCTGGCATGTGGACCATACGACAGTTGCAATTCTCCACCAGGTAGCGAGTCTCACAGTCAATGCGGCAGGCGGTGATGCTGTAGGAGTCGAAGAAATCCAAGTCCATGGTAACAGCTTTGCAGGTGCCCCAGGGCGGGGGCAGGTAGATGAGCTGCTGGGAGAGCCAGGGAGCTGGGGGGTGTGTGGGGACTTCTCCCGAGTCACCTTGATGTGCTTCTGTGATAAGACTTAGAACTCAGGAGCCCTGCACCCTCTCCCTCTGTGATAAGACTTAGAACTCAGGAGCCCTGCACCCTCTCCCTCTGCAAGCTCTGAAGGTCTTTTACAGAGCATTCCCATTCATTAGAGCATTTGTGCTTCTGACCGATGAGATGGCCACCAAGACCCTAGCTCACTTACCCCTTCCATTGCTGACTGCCTGCTGTGCCACTGTGACCACTCAATACCCCAGCCTGGGACTAGCCTCCCCTGGCCTTCTCACCCGCTGCTCCTGGCAGGCCACGAAGGTCTGGAAGCCTGGAGCCACACCAAAGCCCAGCTGGTCGATGAAAGGAGGTTCATCTTGACTGTGGATCTGCACTTTGATGCCTGCCTCAAAGGATGTCTCATCTGTGGGAATGAAGGTTGTGTGTTCTGGGAGGGTTTCAGACTCCCTAGCCTATTTCAGAGCTGGGGACGTCCCACGTCTCCTAGGACCAAGCACAGCATGCACAGCAATGAAGTCTGTCGGGTCCTAGCCCACTTGAGCTTCCTTGTGGATGCCCCAGTGCCCTGGAGCTTCAGGATCCCTGCTTCCTTGCTGCCTTCTTTCTTACCCGGTTTCTGTGACACATCTGGGGGTTTCAAATTCTTTTTCACAGATTGTCACTGTCTCAGATTCTTCCCATCTCTCACCCTCCCTTGCTCCCTTCTCCCCTATCTCTCTCTGCCCCAAGGCCCCTGAGACCAGACAGACAGCAGGCAGCCTGAGAAGAGAGAGTTATTTATAGAGCAAGTGGCGGCCACTGATGGAAAAGGATGACTGGTTACCTTGGAGAGTAACTGAGCTAGGAAGGGGGAATCACAAAGATGTGAGTGTGGAAGACAGGTAGAGACAGAGATGGAGATGGCAAGATGCTAGGAGGGAGGGAGGTGGACCGAGCTTTGCCTCAGGCCCCACCGTTGAGCCCAGAAAGCCCTGACTGAGGCTGGTGCTGGGAGCCATGAGAGAAGGACCCCAGGAGCAGGGGCCCTTGACGAGGATCACATACCAGTCTCCCCCCACACAGGCAGGTACTCATCCTGCTGGATATCCAGCATGATCTCCAGCCCATTGCCGGTCCCACCCTTCATGGTCTTCAGCCGTGGCCGCCCATCCCGGCCTGAGTTGAACGTGTAACATTTTCCATACCTCGTGAAAACCTGTCAGGGCAGAGCAGAGAGCCTAAGGTCATGCCAGCACCCCTAATCCACCAAGCCCCCAGCCTCTCCCTCAGCTGCTGGAATCTTGACGTCCTTCAGGAATGATCTCTCCTATGAAACACGATCTCTGCTCCCTTCTTCCACCACTTCTCTACCATCCTTTGCCCTGTGTGCTCTGGGAAGCTGGTCTCTGTGTGGTGCATCACCTGAACTCCTTTGCCATCTGAATGAGTTGTGTTTGGTTCATGGAAGGCATCCGATGGGGAGGAGAGGATGGGAGGAGAGAGCGAGCTTGGGGACTCATCCTTCTCTAAGCCAAATCCCCACTCCCACTCCCACCATCTCTCTATTACTGCAGAGCTTCTCCCTTGGTCTCTCTAGATCCTGCCAGGAGGCTCCCTCCATAGTACTGCTTCCTCCTTATTGCCACTGAGTCAGAATCAACTCAAACAGCTGACCCTCCAGTGGCTCTGCAGAGACTGTAAGTGAGAGGGGAAGAGACTGCCTTTTTTTCTTCCTTGGAACTGTTGGTGGATTCAGACTGCCAGAGAGGCACCACTTTGGGTAACAGTGCAATTCTCAACCCACCAAAGCTCCCTTTTCAGCCATCTATTATTTGTTATGTGCCTTTGAGTTGGCTACAACTCAGAGTGACCCTAAGAGCAAAAGATCGGAACCCTGTCCCATCCTGTGAGTTGTTTCCAACAATAAGTGGTAACAATTTCCCACCTTTTTTTGGTGCCTCAGCGTCCCTCATAGTGCCTGAGCCTTCCCACAACTCTGCTAGCAGTCCTTTGTTAAAACCTTGCTATTGCAGAATCTGACTGGCAAGTTTCCCCCTGACATACACACCTCTTTCACCGAGATTTGATCACTGTCAGACTCCAGACCCCTCCTTGGACAGCTACTCTCAGGCCAGACTTGAGCTCATGGGGCCTTTTGATACCTCTCATCTCTTCTCTTGAAGAATCTGAAATTCTCTTCTCATCCCCAAAACCATGCGAGGTTGTTTTGTTTCCTCAGTCACTAACCTCAGCGCAGCCCTTATCACAGCTCTGGTTACAAAGCCACATGGAGAAAAGTGAGCCTTCTTCACAGCCCTTTCACAACAGCTTTCTGAGGACCCCAAGTTCCTCAAGTGTAGTGTATGTGCAAACACTGGATAGTGACAAGGTCTACAATCAGGGTCACAAAATCAGCATGGACACAGACTAGAGGAGAGAGCATTTCAGGGCAGACTTAAGCAGGGGATGGGGATGGCTAGGAAATAGTCTTTGCACCCTCCTCCTTTCCAGAACAGCTTCCTCTACTCTCCTCCAGAGAAGATTCTGGCCCCTTTCATCTTGTGGGTATAAAGTCAGGAGATAAGCCTGAGAGATGACTCAGAGGACTTTGAAGTCCCCAGCCCTACCACCAGATCCTATGACCCTCAGCCCCAGGCTCCAGGCTGGCCACACACCCAGGCTTTACAGTCCATGGGGAGATCTGAAGGACTTGAGGTGGTTAATGCTGGCTGGGAGCCCAAGCTCAGATGACTATGCGGCTAAGCAGAGGTCTGCTGCTGCCACCTGATGGCTGTGGGTGAGAAGGGTCTACTCTTTGGCCCAGAGAAACCCTTTCCTCCCCTCTTACTGTATGGCTTGGCCTCCCTGCAGTCCAGTGGCCAAAATCTCCTATGCTCCCACCTATCTAAAATCAGTCCATGATGTGCTGATTTGATGACACCCAAGCGTTCCTGTGCTGGGAGAAACGAGGAACTAAAGGGTGGAAGAGGGGCAAAAAAAGATGCTAGTAAGACAGAATTGGAAGCTGGAGAGAGAATGGGCTGATCATCTCTCAGTAGGGGAGGTCCTGGGGCCCCGGCGAGGGAGTTGAGCAGAAGGCACATCTCTCTGCACTGACTTCCCTGGAGGAAGAGGTCCCTGCTCCTTGGTCAGAGCTGGTAGGGGGACAGAAATTATTTAGGGGCAACCTGTTCAACATACACACACACACACACACACACACCAGGGGATACAAAGTGTGGAGGAGGAAGAACAAGTAAGGATGTCTCCTACTGTGGGAGCTGCAGATGGGCAAATGAGGGGCAAGCGGTGGGGGGGGGCGGAAGATAGAGGACATCCCCTTGCTGCCCTGTCCCCTTCCTCTCTCGGCCCTGTACCTCCAGAGACCAGCTGGTGCCCACTCCAGCTCGAGTCCAAATACTGAACAAATGACCCTGAGTGGGCACCCACCAACAGATCAAAGGTTGACCTTAGGGATGGGACAAGGTCCTGGCACCCTGCTGGCTTACAAGGATGTCTGGGCAAAGGCAGAAAGGCAGGAGAGGCTGGAGGCTATTCAGGGCTATGCCAGTAACTTCAGGAAAGTAGCCAGGGCAGATGCATTTCAAGACCCTAAAGGAGAACAGTTCTGATGTAGATCTGTAACTATTGGCCTTGTTCCAAAGCCTGAGGCTCCCAGGCAGGTCATCACCCCTGCTTCTGAGGCACATCACAGAGGCTGTTCAGGTCAGTGAGGCAGGGAAGGGGTATGGCAGTCACCAGCCCCAGACAGGATAAGCCAAGACAGACACTCAATGGTGCTGGGTCAGCCACTGGTCCCCACTCACCACTGAGAAGTTGTGGGGGCCACAGGGCCCCCCACAGTAGGAGCAATAGAGCAGCATATCCTCCAGCCGGTGGCAGGAGCGATTGTAGAACCGGTGCAGGTTAAAAGGCTCCCCAGAGAAGGCCTCAGGCCCGGGTGGGGCAAGGGGCACCCCAGGGTCATCGCTTTCATCCAGCCCCAGCATGGGGGCCAGATAGAGCAAATCAGGGTAGCTGAGCTGAGACAGCCGCACAGCATTGGTGTTGCACAGGGTGACCGCCGGGAAGGCCAGCTCCGTGGTGGCTACCTCGTCCAGCAGAGTCACGTGTGGGTAGCTGAGGTAATAAGCCACACGGTCACCAACCTGGCCCAGGAAGGCACCCAGTGCCAGGACAAAGGCCACCGCCCACAGGACCTGCTTTGGCCCCGGACCCCCCTCCACAAAGATGTGGCTGGCACCGTGGAGGGTGCAGCTGTTGGCAAAGGTCACCAAGTCCACAGGCAAATCCCCCTCACTTTCCACCTTCGCGGCTTCATTTTCCTTCTCCTCTTCCTCCTCCTCTTCCGATTCTGAGTTATCCCGTCGCTGCTGTTGGTGGGGACTCCAAACATCTCCCAAAGGCCCTGGTGACTCCTCCCCGGAGGAGAACGACACAGAGCAGAATATCTGGATGGGCATCTTCTCGGGGGCTTCCTTGCACCAGGGAGCTGGCAGAAGGGGGGAGGTGCCGTGGGGAGAGGCTGTGAGCCCAGGCAGGGCCCGGCAGTCCCGGCCACCAGACCTGCCAGGTCTCCGTGCCCAGCTGGCTGTCCTTCTTCACCAGGGGCCTCTGGCAATGTGGCTGAAGCGGGGCGGGGCCTGGAGAGGACCAGCCTGCCCTGCCAGGAGGGCGGCCTTCTGGGCTGATGAATAATTGATGGCAGTGAGAACCAGGAGGATGACGGAGAGGAAGGGGCTCCAGCAGGATAGAGAGGGTTGAAGACAGAAGGGAAAGTCCCGGGGACCCCAGGGGTTCAGGCTAGGGCTGGGGTCTAGGTTCTCATCTTCCTGTAGAGAGGTAGGTCCATCACAGTCCTTAGTACCCACGACCAGAGTGACCTCAAACCCCAACAACCTTCCTCTGTTCCCAACACACACACTATTGCTTTCATCTACAGTCTGTTTCCTCAGTTTCCCCATCCCAATTTTGGGTCCCCTTTGTTATTCACTATTGAGCCCAGGACTATCTGGACCCCCAACATCCTGTAAACACTCTTAGACCCATTCCCCTGACTCATCATTCATTCTAGTTATCCCCTTGGCCCTTAGCTCCCCCCTAAATCTCGTCTCTCTCTAGCTCTTTCTTGATCCCCCCCTCCCAATTCTTTTCCAGTCACTTTCTGGATCCTAATTTATTTCCAGTTACTCTCCTGACCCTTTCCAATTCCCCTGTAATCACTGTTTTGAGTTTCAATTTCCATCCAACCAGTCACTGGCCCCCATTTCTCCTCCCCTTGCTCCCTGACTCTCAGTTCTACTTCAAGTCAGCATCTTTCCCTGTACATAGCTCTTAAGTTTAGGTCATTCTCCCCAGGCCTTGCTTCCCCCACCCTTTTCTGTGGCTTGTGGGGTGGCCCAGGTTCCATTAGCAGAGATCGCTCACTGACCACAGACCCATTTATGGCCATTTCCTGGCACCAGGGAGTGAGACCCTGTCTCTGGAAGCTAAAAAGCTTCCTGGCAGCTTCCCACTACCTCTTGCAGCTTGCCTCCCCACCACCCCCACCACAGCAGTCCAGGAGAAAAAGCTCGAGGAATTCTCCCCTGGTGGGTGAAAGACATTGAGATCAGAGCAGACACAGGGGGTCTGGGTTAGGGGCAAGTACTGGGGACCAAACCTCAGCCTCACAGATCCCTCAGCCCCCTCGATGTTGAGGCTCTCTCTGCCCTCAATTTACATCCTCTGTCCCAAGGCCCCCTGGCACCTTTGTGTGCTCTGATTACTCAGGGCCACTGGTTGAAGAACTTGAGCCACCAGCCAAGTCTCTAGGGCTGAGAAGGTGACCTGAGAGGAGGAAAGGGAGTGAGGGAGGTGAAATGGATTAACTCTTCGTTTGCAGAGCCAGAGGAGGAGCACAGGGGCTATACAAATAGAAGTGGGGTGTTCCCTCATTCTTCTTCCATCCCACAGCCTCTGGCAGATTCCTCCTCCTCTCCTTCCCTCTAGGTCCCACACACCTTCACTTCTCTATTTGCATGGACACCCTGGAGTGTGTTGGAGAGGGCAGTCAGGGTGTCAGGTTCTAGCAAAATTGATTGATATGAGGCCTTTGGCATCAGCCTTGCTACCAGGGAAATAGAGGCCACAGAAGAGGAGAATTGGCGATCTGGCCATTCTCCATCCTTATCATGTGGACCTCACACTATCACACTAATCTCATCATCTCGTGAACAACAGCCCTCCCAACTGGTCCCGCTATACTTCCTCCCTGCAGTCTCTCCCTTCTTAACCCATGCCTTAAAATGCTGACCATCCTTCAGCTCAAAGACCTTCTTAACTTAACTCCCCTGTGCTTCTGAGTAAAATTCAAACCCCTCAGGAGGACTTTTGCAAGCTGAAAGCATTTAACTACCAGTCTCAAGTGTCACCTCTGTTCCTTAGTACAAAGTCCAACCCCCATGACCTTCTCCTTATTCTCCACACGCACAAGGCTCGTTCATTCCATTTGGAAAGCTCCTACTCATTTATCAAGACACTGCTCACGGCGAGCTCTGGTGGCCTAGTGGTAGGAAACTGCACTGCAATCCCAGAGGAGCACGGTTCAAATCCACCAGATGCTCTGCTGAAGAAGGAGGAACAATCGCCTCCTGTACCAGTCAGATCCAATTTGACGGTACAGACATAAAAAGAATAAATAAATAAATAAAAATGATCTTAAAAAAATTTAAAAAAAAGACACTGCTCACATGTAACCTCCTCAAGAAACCTTCCCTAAGCCCACCCCGCAAAAAGACCGACAAGTCCAGACCTGCCTAAGGTTCTTCAGAGGTAGGTGGTGACCAAGAGCTCCTGGAAGGGAGAGTCTAGGAGGATGAAAGAGCGGGATCCAGAAACAACACAGAGAAACATGAAATCAACAATGCCTCCTTGGCTTGAGCAGATAAAATTAGAATTGAGGAACAGCCATCGTGACCAGAGATATGTCAGTGCAGGGATAAGTGCAAAAGATGCCCCCACCCCGCATCACCCCTGGTCTGGGCTTTTCTGTTTCCTGTCCTGTGGGTTCAAGCACAGCATGTGAGCGTGGAGCTTTTCCCTTCCATTGTACATACAAGTTGGAAGCGACTTGACAGCATCTAGTAACAACCACCAGAATTTAAGCTTCCAGAAGCAGATTATGCTCTCACTTTACATCTTCTCATAGCTTATTCTAGAACTATGTTCCAGGCTGGTCTTGGAGGCTAGTGGATCCAAGCTGAGGCTTGAAGCGGGGAGGCTGTGGCTGCCCATGCACTTTGTGTCCACAAGAGGGCATCACCACACTCCTGCAGGCTTGCTCTGGGAGGGGAAACAGAACTGACAGCCGGAGGGAGAGAGACTAAGTCAGCTGAGGTCCCCACCGCTGTAGAGGGCAAGTGCACACTCAGAGGCTGATGAGCTTGCTACGGCTGGCCAACCAACACAAAGACTCACATTGCACATCACTACACAGCCACAGCCCTCAGCCCTTTTGTGGAAAATCAAATGCGCGCACACACAACTGCACTCCCTTTCCCTCTCCGTCTTTGTTCCCTTGACAGCATCTCACACCATCCTCTAAGTTCCAGTACAGAAATCCAGATTTTTCACAGTAAAAGGAAGAGGCAGAAATGTCCAGTAGCTCAACTCCCCTCAAGCATACACAGAAGACCTTAGGTGAAATATTTAAGGAAACATACATACAGGACACCCCTGGACTCTGAGCCCTCTGCCTGGGCTGTCCTTCTCCATGTCTCCCTCCTCTCACCCATCACCCTTCACTTGTTTTTTGTTATGATGATATGGTTTCTGACTTTCTCTATGTCTCTTTCTGAACTCTGATTCATTTGTTGTACACAGGGTGGAATGACTCATGGTTTTCAGTTCTCATGGAATTAAATTATCTTCTGGAATCCTTGTACAGCCCAGGGAAATATACAGTTATGAGAAAATGCACTCCCATATGACAAATGAGGAAACTGAGGAACTAAGAACGAATAGTAGGATTGAGACTAGAACTAGGCCATTTGTGTCCAAATTCCTTCTTTATTCATCCTTCCATTCATTCATCAAAAATTCCCTGAGTGCCTATGTGCTCAGGACTCCCAGGAGAACAGATGACAAGCCAGGCCCTGCCTTCATGGAGCTTGCTGTCTAATGGGAGAGACAGACAACAATTTTTAAAATTACAAAAATAAATACTCACATTACAACTATGATAATGTGTTGTGAAAGAAATCATAGGTATCCATGGGGAAGAATGACAAGGGAACCTGGCCCAGACCAGGCATCCAAGGAAAGTTTGACTGAGGAGTGATGTTTGAATTTCAGTCTAAAGAATAAAAATAAATAATCAGGTAAAGGAGCTCTGGTGGCCTAGTGGCAAGAAGCTGTGCTGCAATCCCAAAGGCATGTGGTACGAGGTCACCAGCCACTCCACAGGAGAAGGATGGGCAATCTTCTCCTGTGCAATTAACTGCCTCTAAAAATCCACTAGAGGGTCAGCTATGGTTTGGTTCTGACTCTGTATTACACAACAACAACAATCAGGTACAGGTCTTTGTGTGTGTGTGCTCTAGGAAGGGAGTATTCCAAGCAGAAGAAACAGAGTCTGTGCAAAGGCCCTGAGGTGAGAGAACCGAGAGACGGTTGTTGTGTATGGAGAAATGGCCGAGAGAGTGCTGGCCAGTTAAGCAGAAACTAGGCCACACAGGATCTCAAAGGTCACGGTAAGGACTGCGGTGCAAGGAGAATGCAAGACAACCTGAGATAGTACACTGAGCAGTGAGATCTATGTTCTAAAAGATCATCCTGGGTGCAGAATGAAGAGTGGACTAGAAGATCCAGAGAGGCTGTGAGGAAATCTATTGAGAGGCTACTGCAGTGGTCCAGGGACAATGGGGTGGCTTGAAAGAGGGTGGCTGAGTGAGAGGAGGAGAGGCGAGTATACTGCAGAGATAGCGAGGAGACAAGATGGACAGATCCTGTAAAGGGTGGGGGAGATGGATTGTCACAAATGGTGTCTGGTGTGCACAGTCAGGTGGAAGGCTGAGGGGTCAGCAGATCTGGCACACAAGGGAAGGATTTGTTTGGAAGCTAAGATGATGAATATGGCTTTGCATATATTGGTTTTGAAGCATCTTGAGATATCCAAGTGAAGATGTTAAATGGGAAATTGGCCACTGAGGCTGAAGCTAAGAGGAGAGAGAGCAGGAATGAGACATAAATTTGGCAGTTGTTGGTGTGTAGATGGTAATTGAAATCATGAGTAAAGATGAGATTGCTCAAGAATAGAATATCAAGTTAAAAAAATAGAAAGTGGGGGGAGGGAAGGCCTAGTTTGGCAGTATCTACTAAAGCGAAACAGAATCCTGCCGTATGACTTAGCCAGAGTCACCTAAAAGACATGTACAAGAATATTCATAGTAACTTTACTTGCAGTAATTCAAACTGTTGTCAT